CGTTGAAAAAAAAATTAAAAAAAAAAAAAATAAATAAAAATAAATAAACAGTAAGATATATGATATAATCTATATGTATTTAGGCATTTTAATGTGTTTTTTAAAATTCCAGAACGATTTACTGATTCAGTGAAAAAGCTGCATAACTGAAAGCTATACTCCTACATACGTCCTCAAATGACTTGAAATTAAGGAAATTCTAAAAAACTATAAAATGTGAATCTACATGAATATTAAGGCAGTCTCTGTATTAAAACAACATGTATATGCTAAGTAATTTGGATCTAAATGAAAAAAATTAAATTAAAAAAAAAAACATGTGAACTGGATATTTAAAGCAAAAATGATATTCAGTGATCCTCAAATACTCAGGATCATTCTCCTGAATTTGTAATTTCAGTAATTAGAACTTAGTTTCATTGGTCATTAGATGAAGTGGGAACCATGCTAATTTACGGATACAATTAATAATAGCTGCATTTTAAGCATCCCTGCCCCCCAACCAGCTGTTATCTGCCACTGAAGTGAATGAATACTATCCATTTGTAGAACAAATTAACTTCATAGAATGTTATATGTAATTGAACTCTCAAAAAGTTCAGAAATAGCAAAAATATCATTAACTGAAGAAAATGTACAATATACATTAAGTTCTATGCCAATAAGAAACCACATCAAGGTGATGTGGTTGAGAAGCTTGTATTCCAAACAGCTGTGCACCTATCTGCCATCCTCTAATGTTCAAAGGAGGCAAACAATCAGAGTCAGTTCCTACGCAGTAAGCAATGCTGAGTGTTAACATTCCCAGGGCTAAAGATGATAGTAAAAATCACCACTTCTGCTCCCTTGCCATTGTTAGAGCTAGCTCCTTCTGTGAAGAAGAGATAGTGGTCCTACTGTCCCTGTTCTTTGCTTACATGCTTTTAAGTTAACATGCTTCTATTCACCAGCATTTGCTCGTCTGATTTAGGATTAGCAGAGACATGCCCTGATTTGCAGGTATAGACCTTCTCAGTCATTTAGGGGATTACTGACCATATGCTCCATGAGTGACGTGGATACATACATAAAGAATAATGTACAAAGACCTTGTCTTTTACCATAACAACAACACAAAATTGTTTAATCACCTTCTTCCTCATCCGCTATGTTCTTGAAATAATTTCCTACCAGGAGAAGCACCATTTAATTGAGTTAGAGGATGGAGTAAGGGCTTTAAGGTTTATATGCAGAGATACAATGGTAGGAATATTTAACAGCATTGGACATTGAGGCACTATGTATGAGAAACAACTAAGAAAGCAAAAAAATTCAGAAATCTGAGGTAAGTGCAAGGAAGACCAGCTTTGCAATTTTAGCTCTCAGAGGAAATTACATGAAGAAACTGCACATGCAGATAATAACATTTCTTAAGGGGCTGGGAGGAACGTGGGCTGAGAAGCAGCTTAGGACAGATAGTACACGGCACTGGTATCAATGCAGAACTTGAGGCAAAAGTCAACAATATTCTACTATCCACCACTACATAGGCCTTCTTCCTTCTCTTTATTTCCTTTCCTCCTCTACCTGCTCTTCCACTCTCCAGAGCAGTGGTTCTCAAACTTCATGGGAGGGGCTGGTTAAAACAGATTGCTGGGCCACACTGCTAGTTTCTGATTCAGTAGGTCTTGGGTGAAGTTCAAGAACATGCATTTCTAACAAGTTCTCAGGTGACGCTGATGCTGCCGGCCTAGTGAAAACACTCTTTGAACCACTTGAATAGAATGCTTTTCTTTCTTTAATTTTCTGTGCCTCATCCTGCTAGGGTCATAGTCCCACAGGTGACATTTAGATCCTTAGGAAAAAGACACCCAAAGAGAACTCAACTGACTGCAAAACAACAACAAAACACACAAAAATAAACAGCCATTACCCATTATTTCTTTATCCCTGCAGATAACCGAAGTGCTTAAACATGTCTAATAATAACATTAACAAATAAATTATTTTCATTTACTTCAGAAACCTCATTTCGACCATGATTTACTAAAGTGCATGGTAATAATGAAAAGCACATTTTTTTAAAAGGTGAGAATTAGTAGAACAGAATGCCAACTCCATGTCTAAGCCAGGAGTCACACACCTCATCTCCTGTGTGCGGACTCTGATGGATGATAACATGTACGGGAGAACTCTGCCGAGAGATGCTCTGAGGCTGCTCTCAGGAGAAGAAAAAAAGTTTCATAATTGATGAGCCACGTCTAATGTGGTCGTAAGAATAGGTACTATTTCCCATATGCCACAAAATAAGAATAAAAGGTACAAAGAGAGATCACAATGTCCGATCCAAGTAAGTAAATGTGATTAATAATGAAAATGTTGCTAAAAAAAGAAATTAAACGTGTGATTTCATTAATGTGGCTGAAATATGTGGTAGAATGACTTGAAGGGACTGAATGAAGAAAAGGAGACCTTGAACAAGAGCCCAATCAGTTAAATAAGGCAAAGAGATTATATACAAAAAGGCAGCTAAGGCAAAAGATGAGCCAGCACAGGAAGTCAAAGGACAGATAACACACGAACAAACATCCAAAGAAAGAAGAAGCAGAGCTATGACAGGAGGCGTACACTGAGGTTGCTTGTGACCCACCTCAACAGGGAGCTGATTAAACTGTATCACTAGGCCATCTACAGCTGTGGCTATACCAATAAGAGCAACGACCTTTTGTGGCCTTGCGATTGCAGCATGAAGCATAAGCCATCCACCGAGGCTAGATCCAACAAGTATCTAAAAACAAAAACACACAGTTATATTTATTTTTTTAATTTTATTTTAGAGAGAGAGGGAGAGACAGAGTACACGCGCACCTGTGAGCAGGGGAAAGGGAGACAGAATCTTAAGCGATGTGGGGCTCAATCCCCTGACCCCGGGATCATGACCTGAGCCAAAATCAAGAGTCAAACGCTCAACTACTGAGCCACCCAGGTGCCCCCAAAAGATACACAGTTTTAAAGAGGAATTTCTTTTTCTTTTCTGTAAGGGGATTCAGTAATTTATGTATGTATTTTTTTCTTCTATATCCATTAGCTCCCAGACTTTTGATATTTGGCACAAAGTAGAATTAAAATTAGGATTACAAGGTAAAGTAAAATGCCACTTACATTTTATGAGAAAGTGAATAGAATAATTTTAAATCAAATACCAAAATTAATTGTTAAACATTTAAACTATTAAATTTTCATAGCTAAAGAAACAGCTGAAAAAAAAATGAGGTTAGTCAATAATTATATTTAACACAAATAGTCACCTGTGGTCCTTCAGCTAAGTCATCAATTATAGAAAGAACATCTTTTCTCCATTTTCCCACTGTGCATTCTTGTAAGTTACCATCCGAATTTCCAACTCCTGAGTAATCAAACCTAGAAAAAGGGGAAACATATATCTAGATATCTGTATCTAGTTATATATTTCTCTGATTTTTAAAGAAGACAGCTCATTTATCATTATTACAATGCTTAAAATGTATTAAAATAAAGCAATGAGGTCAATTCATATTTTAGCAGATTCAACTGGCATAACCTTCAAATATCACCCATGTCCACTCACTCTCTCACCTCCTCCACTGCTAGCAGCCTGTCCATGTCACCATCTTCTCTGCCGGAGTAGTGTAATAGTATCCTAAGTGTCCCTGTGTCCATTTTCTACCCCAGTAGTCTATTCCCCATGTAGCACTCAGTGCTCTTTTTAAAACAAAAATCATGTCTTGCACAAACCCTTCAAAAGCCTTCTACCATCTTTAAACAAAACATAATGAGGCCTCTGACTACCTCTCTGATTTCATTTCTTAGAGATTTCTTACTGTTCTCTCCCTCCCAACTGAATTCGCATTTGCCTTCTTGAAGTAAACGGAATATACCACCCAGGTTTTGCTATCAACTTTTCTTTCTACAGGGCATACTGTATCCCTCCAGATATCCACTTTGATTGCTCCCTTGCTTCATTCAGGCCTCTGGCTCAAATGTTACATCTCCAGAGATGCCTTCTCTGACTACTCAATGCACAATTGTGCTGCTTTCATCATTCTCTATTTCCTTACCCTGCTTTATTTTCTTCATGGCAAATATTGCTACTTGACATATAAAAAATTTAATTATTTGTTTATGGTCATCTCCCACACTAGAATGGAAGCACCATATGGGCACAGGCTGTTTTGTTCACTGCTGCTTTCCCAATGCCTACATCAGTACTTTGCACATGATAAGTGCTTAGTATTTACTAAATTAATAAAAGGGAAAGAGGTAAATCAAATTCACGATCATCAACTCATCCCCCTAGTTTGCTGCTTCTTCCAACTGCCTAGCTCTCCAGGCTCCAAGTCTGTCGATCTGTGCATTTTCAAGGCCTCAATTCAGCAGACCAGGAAATATCGCATCACGTCTGCAGATTACCTTAAACCACAGTCATACTGAACTACTCCAATCCCTGGGCAGACCCTTTTATAATGCTGGGCCTTTGCATCCTGTCTAGAAAGCCTGGAAAGCCTTCCTTCCCACCCAAACTCCTACTCATCCCTCAGTCATGTCACCTCCTGAGGAACTCTGACATACACTCCCTCAGTCACTTTCTTTTGTATGTACTCACTTAACACTTTTCATATTATGTAGTAATCAGGTCAAATATTTGTGTGACTAGAATGTCAGTTCTTGAAGAGCAGACTGTTTCACTCTAATTTTTTTTCCAGGATACCAAACACTGCTTGCCCTGCGCCATCCTCACTCACTCTCGTTTCTTTCCATTCACCTCTTTCTCTGCCATCTGGTAAGACCAGTATCACGGTGCACATCTTTGTCATTTTTCAAAAAAAAATTTTTTTTAACATTTATTTATTTTTGAGAGACAGAGCATGGGCCGAGGAGGGGCAGAGAGAGAGGGAGACACAGAATCCGAAGCAGGCTCCAGGCTCTGAGCTGTCAGCACAGAGCCCGACACGAGGCTCGAACCCATGAACCATGAGATCATGAGCTGAGCTGAAATCAGATGCTTAACTAACTGAGCCACCCAGGCGCCCCACATCTTTGTCATCTTAAACCTGGCCTAGCATAGTAGCCTCCTGTGTCTGTCCACTCTTTCTCCAAATAGATCCACTTTATACATGTCAGGTTTTTTTCTGAAACATTTTATTGCTATGGAATTAACTTCAGTGGTTCCCTGTAACATGCAACATAAACATTCAGGGCTTTAGCCTATTTTTTAGACCATTATATTCTGGTCATCTCAGATTGATCATTTATCATGTCATCTGAGGAAACCAGTGCTTTGGCCCAATTGATCAACTTGGTGTTACTAAACTGGCTCTTGCTTTCTGTTCCTGTTTCATGCCTCATACTATTTTCATCACTAGGAGTACCTTCTCCTTTCACCTTCACAGCTCATCCTCTCAGAACTTAGTCCAAACAAATCTTTTTTTTTTTTTTTTTCCTGGAAAAACTTCCCCCAGACAAGCTGAAGAAAAAATTCTTACCTAATGAAACTTATACAGAATTCATTTTTATCAGTCACAATCAATTTTTATACCCTGCTCTATAAGACAGTTTGTATGTGTGTGATGTGCCTCATCATTCCTGTGAGACGGTCAGATCCTGGTGGGGAAACACCATTCTTGGTTTTGTGTCTGCATTCTTCCCAGAGGCGAGACACCTACACCTCGCACACAGAGTATGATAACACATACTAAATAAATAAACATGGAAGGTAAAAATAAAAAGAATCACTTGATTCAAATTTGAAGTGTTCAGGTTTCTCTAATTCTTAAAATCTGATGAAAACTAATAAATCCTAGTGTTTTTAGTGTACATGTAAGAATATATATGTGACACACACCATACACACATTTTCTTAGGGATTTACGGGTCATGGAGGAAAAAGAAATTGAATTTTTCTTTGTTATAAAGTGAAATGATTTTGGACCCTTGGGAAATTGTGTAACAAGGCCACTGCTCACATCACAGTCATTATTTCCCTTCAATCCAGAGGACATAGAAAACAGACCCAGGAGAAGAGGGAAGAAAGGTACCAGCTAATCCTTTTTCCTCCCTTGGCGGGCAATCGGGCATCTCTACTTGCTGCATCTTTCACAGCTGCCTTCGAAATGTATGATGCAGATGCAGAATACAAGTAGAAACCCATCAAAAAGGAAAATATAAACATCTGGTGATACTAAAAGGTACAAGTAAAAAATATAGTTCACTCTTGCTGAACCCTAACCAAGGGACAAAGACAATTCAAACATATTCAGCTGTTGGGGCACCTGGGCAGCTCAGTCGGTTAAGCGGTCAGACTTCGGCTCAGGTCATGATGTCAAGGTTCGCGGGTTCGAGCCCCGTGCCCGGCTCTGTGCTGACAGCTCAGAGCCTGGAGCCTGCTTCAGATTCTGTGTCTTCCTATCTCTGCACCTCTCCCACTCACATTCTGTCTCTCTCAAAAATAAAAAAACAAAACTAAACAAAAACCAAACATATTCAGCTATTTAGGACTTTAAAACAGCAATGGGTGGGGCAAGGAGCGGCTGGCTGAGTCAGTACAGCATGAGACTTGATCTTCAGTGTGAGAGTTTGTGCTCCACTTTGGGTGTGCAGCCTACTTAAAACAAACAAACAAACAAACAACAAAAAAAACCCCACAGGCTGTTCTAGCAGCCTCAACACTCTAGAACATAATCCCAAATCTAGAATTAAATATTCTATGGCAAGTAACTATGAGAGAATACCAGCCCTAGCATCGTGTGCTATATTCCTGAGCTCTGACTCAATCTTATGTTAGGCACGGTGACAGAACATCAAAAAACTGTTTTCACATAGTCATATGTACCATTTCTTGTATAATATACAAAACCATTTCCTCACTCAAGATCTAAGATTCTACAGCCAAAAACATAAAAAAGGTAAACTGAGAAACTGGAGTATATATAAAAGATAAAATCTCCAATAACAAGCTACAATGCAATCAATAGTTAATAGTGATTAGGTTGCAATGAAGTTTGATAAAAGCAAATAAAAAGGAATCTAGTCAAATTAAAATTTTGTAGTGAAAGGCTACACTTTTATAAAGGTTTATAAAGATATACTTAGGCTATGTTTTAACACAGAACCAATTAATGGTCTGTACACATTATAATTAATGTTTATTTAATACACTTTAAAAAAAGTTTTCCATATGTATTCAAAATACAGAAAATGCACAGATGTCATGTGTCATAGGGAGATAGGAACTGGTTACAGTGCTCAGTTTCAACTTAAATCCAAGAACTGGTAAAAGGGCAATTTCTTGATTCAAATTCTCTGGGGGATAAAAAGGACGACGGCAATTTTTCTGACTGTATTGTGTTTTGATCAGTGCAGTTTCCCTTCTTGTACAGATCTTCTTCCTTACCCCAATCCTAACATCAGTGTGCCTTTATGAAGTGTTTTTTTTATCCACTTTAATCCCCAGTTTTCTCTCACCTTGTGCAATTAAGTATACTATTCCTTTTGACACAGTACATTCTGTTGAGTATTTCTGCCTAATTTCTCATGTTTTTTGTCTTGTTTCCCCAACCTGATCTTTAGCAACAACGGCCATGTTTTAGAATTTGTTGTATATTTTACAGCACCCAGTAATAGTGCTAGAATGTCTACTTGGAAAAGATACTCCAGTCTTCAGAATAACAGGTCAGAATAGATTTTTTTAAAAGTTCTGAGTAGGAAAATGAAACTCAATATGATAAAAAAGAGTAACACTAAATCCAACTAAATGTCCATTTAATTGACATAATCTCTGCTAATATGTTGAATAAAATCTAAAAGGTTTTTTGTATTTATATATTAATTTCTGAAAGCTATATTTTCTAGACATATTGAGTGAATGTTAGTGAAACTATTATTCTAACCATGTAGATGAACAGATTTTTAGGCCGTTAGTTCTAGAAAGGATTCAGACATTATCTTTAGTTCATCATCCTCCTTTTTTATGATGAAGAAAATAGGTCCAGTGTTTATCAGCTGACTCATCTTGTCACAGTTATTGCTGGAATGGATTCTGGTACCCATAATTCTTGAATTCCGGGCCAGCATTCTTTCTATTAAACCATACTATCTTTTCTGGCAAAGCAGACACTAACTAAATGATTGTTATAAGTAAACAAACCTAATAACGATGTAAGCACACTATTTTACTAAAATAATTACTGGAATGAAATATTAGGAATTATGAAATCAGATTCTGGTTAAATAACACATATCCTCTCTATGCTTCTATACACTCAGACTACAGGAGTGAAGGGAAAGAGAAAACTTCCGTGCAAATGTGAATTATACAGTACGAATTTTAGAATACTTTCATTCATTCATTTATTTATTTATACAGGCATGGAACATCAATGAAAATACCAGGCCAGAGAAATGGAGTTCTAAACTATACCTAAAACCAAAGGAAAGAATGGGCTCAATATGAGGATGTGAAGTGGGAACTTAAAAGATCGTAAGAGACATGAAAAATATACAATATTCTCAAATACATGTATTATTTTTAAATACATATTTTGAAAGTAGAGTTATAAAGAGTGACCAAATAAAATCCCCAATGGAAAGCCACAAAATAATTACAAGACATTACAAGAAAGCCAACTACTATTTTTGATTTGTTGTCCTGCTAGATTATTACATCTGAAGAGTTTAGTTACCACTAGTTTCTTTTTCCACCAGCATTGTCAGGGTGGCACAAAGACCATTAAAGAAGGTCTTTTTAGGGCTGCATTTGCAATAGCCCTAAATCACAAGGTGAAAGTTTACAGACCATTAAAATAAGTTGATCCATAAAGACACTGGCATTTGCTCCAATTGGTTAGAGCAGAAATAAATCTCCATTGCCATGCTCAATGGTAGTAGTATTTTTCTCGGAGAAATGTGTTGTTCCTACCTTATATAGGCGTGACCTAGAGATTTGCAAAACTCTTCAATCGCCAATGCTTTTGTACCATTCATATTAGATATATAGCCAGGGATGAAGATAATTCCTGGACTTTTGCCTTTTAGCTTCTTATAAGCCAGGTTTGGAAGGTCTGGTCGACTAAGGAAAGAGACCGATGACTTTGGTCTGCAAGCTAAACAAAGTACAAAAACATAAACTAGTTTACAAATACTGTTTTGGGAAAACCATACACAACTGACCCTTGAACAACATGGGGGTTGAGACACTGACGCCCCCGTGTATTCGAAAATCTGTGTGTAACTTCTGACCTCCCAAAAACTTAACTAATAACAGCCTACTGTTGATTGGAGGCCTTACCGATAACATAAAGTTGATTAACACATATTTTGTGTGTTGTTTATATTATTATATATTGCACTCTTACAAAAAAGTAGGCTAGAGAAAAAATGTTGAGAAAATCATACAGAAAATGTATTTACAGTAGTGTTGTTTATTGAAAAACACCAATGTATAAGTGGGCCTTAGTAGTTAAACCCATGTTATTCAAGGGTCAACTGTATATTTTCAATCTTAACTTTCTTAACTTGTCAAATTGATGTCAAAACTACTTCCATTTAAGAGGAAAAACAGAAACATACTTGAAATATTAAAATCACAAGCCTATCCATGGTATCTTTTGAACTCCTATCAAAATCAGTTCATAGTTTGAACTCATATTCAAAATCACTTGAACAAGGTCCAATCTTGATTCTTCCAAAATACACAATGAGGTGGAAATTTCAAGGCAATAAAAGATAGAGACTTGTAAAAAAAAGTTTTCCTGTAAAAAATGCTGCTGTATCATCTGTCCTAAATAGTATCAATTAATGTTCAGATTTAATTACACTAGTTTAAGCCTTCTCTTGTGAGATTTTTCTTTTTAATTTTTTCAGTGTTGGAGGAGTTTCACATCCTCTACTTTTTGGCAGGGAGGGGGAGAAGGCAGAGAAACTGTTTCGAAGGCAGAGGTGCTGTGCTCCTGCTGGTAATACTGGCTCCCTCACCATCCACAAAATCATGGGCCATGCTAACAGCCTGTCATGATTTTGCATCAGCTGAGGTGGGTTCAATGAGCAGTTACTTTACAAGAAACCTTGAATAATTTATAATAGTACCATTTTCGGAAAAAGATTTCCCACAGGACTCTGCAATCACTATGTTTTATTTGTTGGTTTGGCTTTCTGTGAATGGCACACAGATCTTAGTGCAATTTAAGTATAATAGCACAACTGGCAAACCTTATAAGGTTACTCTATTTCACTGTTTTTCAAGTTTTTTCCTTACCATAAAATCTATACTTGCTCTTTAAAAAAGGTAAAGAGATTTTTAAAAAATTAAGTCATTTATAATCCCACCTCCTCCTTCCAAAGAAATTAAGTTTGTGTATTTCCTTATACTCTTTTCCTGAACCAAGAAAATCTCATCTTTTATATGAAATGAAACCTTCCTCCACTTTATTGTGGCCAAGGAAAACATCTCTGCCCCCTCCATGTGAGTTGACAAAAGCTTCCTTCATTTTGGGTTTGAGAAGTTGGATTTTTAAAAAACTGAATTGAAGGCCTTAAAGCTATCCCTATAACATCTAAGTTGTTTCAAAGTTTCACTGTATAGTGAAATATGCCAAATTAAAATTTTTTTAGTGAAAACCAGGGCTAGTGGGGGCCAGTTATGTTGGTTGGTAGGTTGTATCAGCAAAAATGTCAATTTCCTAGTTCCTTAGTTCAGCACTCAAATCCTTCCTATTGTCTTCTCAATATTACATCTCCAAACAGAAATTTCTCCTCTGAAACAGTAATTTACTTCATTTTGGTGAGTTTTAAGTTGGAGGGGTTCTTAACATTATATCCATAAATGATCTTTGTACTATAAGGATTAGCTCAAAGCCTGATGCATAAATCCTAAATGATGTGCTAAACAGATGAAAAAGTATTACAATTTACTTAATGAATTGACATACTATACTTCACTAGGGGAACTTATATATATAACAAGCCTTTAGACTGTACATAATTAAGTGTAAGTTAAACTGATTATATACATTTAAAAATTTTAACCAAAGCAAAGGGTGTCAGCAATGACAGTTCCCATTCCAAGCACAATGCATCTGACAGCTTGTATGCCAAAGGTGTAAAAACAACAAAACTAGAGAATAAAAAGACACAATTCAGAAAGACTATGTATACTGGGGGTAGGGTGCTATGGAGAAGAATCGAACACAAGTTGAAGAAAATATTCTGATGCTCTCATTTTTGGTACAAATTCTAGTTTCCTTTGTAGAGTAATGAATATGGTTTTCACTGAGCGGGAGCATGGAGAAGGCAAAATCAGAAATTTGGCTTGTTCACGGAGTCTACTCTCTCTCTCTCTCTCTCTCTCTCTCTCTCTCTCACACACACACACACACACACACACACACACAAAGTTGATACTATAAATTTCCCAAAGGGAAGCAAGGTCAGGTCTCAGCATCCTAACGGAGTCAAGATCTGTAAAGCCCTTCCTTAGACCAGAAGACAAACGAAAGAAAAAGCAACTAATAACCAAACGCACATCTTAAATTTTTCCTAGCGTTGGCGCTTAACACAGGGAGGCAGGCACAGAGTACGATCCTTAAGCTGCAGAGCGTAAAACTCCAGCAAGGGCCGGCAGAGTTCTTCCTACAGCTTTCACCAGAATTGCTGAAAGCGAGTAAAACTAGAGTACTGAGAACGGGGGAAGAGCATTTTTAAATAAGGCGCCAAAAACGCACTAGACAGGAACGGAATGAACTCCAAGTTCGAAAGAACGCGTACTTCTCCCGCCTTTCGGACACTGACCTGGGACCCACCGTGGCGTCCGCTCCGACTTCCTTGCAAGTAACGCGCTGAGGCCACGGTAGAAGCCTAAGAAGACGGCCTCTCTGCCCCACCTCCGACGAGGTACCCAAGAGCTCAGGGTAGCCATGCCCGCCCCCGCCATCTTCCCAGAGGCCCTCGAGTACCTTGCTGACCCACAGAGTAGCTCCGAGCGCACAGTAACCAGAACTGCGCATGCGCCGCCGGCCGGAAGCCGGGACTTGCTAAAGACTTTCAACTGAGGGCGCACATGCGCGGAGAGTCGTCGCTCTGGCGAGCCTCTCGCAATTGGACGGTTGGTTCCTCAGGGAGTTTTTGCCTGTGATGGCTTGGAATGTTTTGAGCAGCCTCAGTAGGTGATTTTCTCAATTGGTTGTTAGCTGGCTGTTAGATAGAGGCGCGGAGAGGATCCGTAGCCAACGTTCCTAGATAGGAAACCATCTCATCGTCCCGAGGACACTAGGGAGCGGAAGCTTAAGATGCTAGGCTGCTTGCATTACAAATCGCCTTCCCACCCCGACAGTTTTAAGACAGTTTTAAACCGTACCGGAAATGCTTCCAAAATCTGACCTTAATCCTGCTTGTGTAAATACCCGAGGTGGACTCGTTCGCCGCTCCTCCGCCGCTTTCCGATTCGTTTTTACTCTATCTAGCTCTCTATATGCCTGACAATTGAATTATTTAGTTATTCTGTCCCCTGCCTCATGTTACGTGCAAAAATAAATCTCAGGAGATATATGCTTTCAACGGAAGATTAAAACAAAGGATTTAAATACACTTTAGGGCAGTATTTTGTAGTTTGGGGATAGAAGGGACTTTCATAAGCAAGAGATGAAACCCCGGAATAAATAAAAATGTTTGCATGTGAACTTCAACTTTTTTCACGGTAAAAGGCATCTTGAGTCAAATGAGAGTCTAGAAAAACTGATTTTACGGCACAGATAACAGAACATTAATACTTCTATTCAGCCTGCTCCTAGTAATAAGGAAAAAAAAAACCCTATAATTCAATGGAATTAGCCAACGGCTGTGAGTAGGCGCTTCATCTATAAAGATGTTCAACTTCACTAATTGAAAAATGTGAATAAAAAAATAACATGTTATTTTTCTCACCTGTCAGATTGGGAAAAATTAACAGAGCAACTATGGGCAAGGATGATGGAAAACTGGCACTCCTGTATGGTTGGTAGCAGGGTTAATTGCTAAACTCTTCTGTCAAGTAATCTGTGCACAATTTAAAATGTGCATCATTTTCAGCGCCCTTGATCTAGTGGCTCCAGTCTGTGACTCTTCTGTAAAGAACAGTATTAGTTCCTAAGGATGCATATAATCTGCTACAGCACCATATATATATATATATATATATATATATATACACACACACACACACACACACACACACACACCATAAATATATACACCATATATATTTTACATTTTATTTTTCAGAGAGAGAGAGAGAGAGAGAGAGAGAGAACAAGTGGGGGAGGGGCAGAGAGAGGGAGACACAGAATCCGAAGCAGGCTCCAGGCTTGAGCTGTCAGCACAGAGCCTGATGTGGGGCTCGAACCCCTGAACTGTGAGATCAAGACCTGAGCCGAAGTCTGTTGCTTAACTGACTGAGCCACCCAGGCACCCCTATTTATTTTATTTATTTATTTACTTAAGTAGGCTCTGCTCAGCTTGGAGCCCAACACAGGGCTTGAACTCAAAACCCTGAGATCAAGAGTGAGTGGCTTAACGACTGAGCCACCCAGGCACCCCTACAGCACTATTCTTATAAGCAAGCAGAAGAAAAAAAAATGAATTCTGGGGGCCCCAGGCATCAGCAAGTAAGATCTTATCTAGTTTTTTTCTACTTAAGGTTAAGGTAGCTGGTATAAAATACTTAAGTAAAGCCACTTTACTATGTTAGTCATACATTTTGGAGCAATGATTGGTGCTAGAGTTAAAGGCAAATGTTGGATACAGTGAATCCAGCCTATCTTTGGAGTCTTGAGAACCTGTCTTATTGGAACATTGGAAAAAGTTGGATAAATAAAAACTAAATAGATCTTTCTTGAGTGGTGTAGTGCCAGAAACAGATAGCAAGGACGGCTGCTCGATTTCAGGATGCACTCCAAAAGTTGTTGAGCTATTTTGCCATTTCTCCACTAGGCCTGTTGTAGATTCCAAAGAAACTAAATCACTAAGGTGATAGACAATGTGTGTCACTTCGTTGTCCTTTAAATCTTAACAATAAACATTTCTCACTATGGGTTTTGGATAATTGCAAATATTCTCAATCATTCCTGTCCCTATTCTCTCCTTTTATTTTTGTAGATCTTGCATTTTATGTACAGCAAAATGAAAACAATCTGACTTGTCTCCATAGTGGGAAAAACACTGCTCAAAAGAGTAGGGAAACCCATAGATTGTTTTCTCTATCCGCCCTTATCAGTATAACAAATCATGAAAAACTGTGGCTAGTGTCAAGTGAAGATGCTTTTACCTACAGTGATGGGCTTGAAGTAGACCAATTGTTTCCGTACCCACTGTCAATGCTGCCTTCATTATCAGGAGTGTAAGGATATATTGTTCGGGGCCATTTCTCTCTTTGAAATCTGCTGCCTTAGTCCAGGGAGACAAGTGAGGTTGCCTTCAAGTAAAATCCTTTACTTCCCACCTGCGTGAGTTTTTTTTCCCCTGTCAGATAAGTAAACACAGCCCTTGGAATCCCCAGTAATAATTGCATCTTTGCAAAAAGACGGTCAGATGTCACATTTGTCAGGAGTCATCTCATTTCAGTTTTATAAAACTACAAATCATAATGTTAGCACACAAAATCTCCACCTTTATGGAGATTGACAATTGACTTTTGCTGATTAATCCATCTCCTCTTATGTCACCAATAGGTAACCTCCTGACGAGAGATGAGTTTATTTTCAGCTGTGAAATCTGGTCAACATTTTAATCCACACTCAACATATTTTAACACACATTTTAAAAGGTTTACTACATCATGCATAATATAACGTTGATTAGAATATCTTCATAATCCTATAGAGAAAGTACAGTACAGTACAGAAAAGTTATATCTTACATTAACCAACAAAATTTTAGCAACTGCATTTCACTCTCTTAGATCATTACAAGGGTTTAGGGCTGATGTCTGAAAAAAACAGATTATAAAACTGTCTTCTGCAATAGTGACCTTGTCCTCCACTGTTCAAATAAAATCATGAGTCATCCAGTTGCAAAATCTTATTATTGGCAACGTGTATACATGTGTGCAAACCAGAATGCAAATTTTTAAACATTGTACCCAGTCAGGCCAGATCAAGATGTTATGGACACTTCCAATCTAGTCATTTCACCTTGTACTAGTAAGCAAAGCCATTAATTATTCTCTACTTATATTCATTTGCAAACTTCTAGGAAAGAATACGTTCATACTTACAAATACACACAACATGACAGACCCAGGATAAGTGGCATTTGAAAAACTGTTATAAAAGAGACTTGCCTGAAGTCATTTCATTCAAGAAAAATTAACTTAACTCTAAAAAAACTAAAGCTAATTGTAAAGAAATACATAATGAAATAGTACATTACAGAGAACATTAAGTTGGAGTTCATTTTCCTTGTTCTATAACATTACTTCTGTAAGTAAGTATTTTCACTGGTCTGTTCTTTGGTGAAAATAGGGCTCTGGTTTCATCGTTATGTCACGTGAGGTTGCAAAAAGAGGTGTGTTCCACGATAAAGAGCAAACAGACAACCTAAGGAAATCGGCTACTGGCTACCTTTATTCTCAGCACCGGGAATGGAGAAATCTTTAGCAAAACATGAAATAGTCTCTTTATTTTTAATCGCTCCAAGTGACAGAATGCCTGTCTAATAAGACTGCTTCTGTCTAAAACACACAACCTTTTGTTTTTTCTTCTTTTACAACAAGTGATTTGCTATATATGTACAGTCGCTTATGCCAGGGGTAACTCTCCAGAGTCAACTTCCTGGGCAACTGATGGCATCAAAGTACCATTTTAAAATGTAGAGTAACACCAAATACAGTTCATCACTTGAAACTACCACTATTAAACAGAAGTCATGTCAAGTCTTTGGTTTAGGTGCAGTACTTAATAATAATTAGGGCAAAACTCCTAAAACTCTCCCCCAACCCCTTATTTGCTTCTACTTACAAAATAACCTTCAGCAAAATGGTTTTTAAAACGTCAGTTGATTAACGAATAATGTCAATGCCAATAATTTGGGTGCTAAAATAATTTCATATTTCCAAGTACATACATTTTTGTAAACTGTTCAGTTTATTTCACCAAAGTAAACAATTGATAAAAAACAGTTTATAAGAAGTGTTCCTATAAGTGATGCTATTTACCAAAATAGTGTTTTCTTTCTCACAGGTGCTTCAATCCTTTCGCTACTTGTCGTCAAGCTTTGAATTCAACCCCCCTTCTTCTCTTTTACAAATGACTTCCTGTTAATGTAAAAAGGAGTTCTGAGTATACACAGTTAAAGGGATGGGCCTGTGGGTCCCGGTCTCTCCATCCCGGACTGAATATGGCTTCATTCTTGTAAGAGACTATTGCAGTCTGCCCGGAAGTACACTGTTGGCGCCAGTTTGCTACAACAAGAAGTGGGTGTAACCTTCTGCGCCAGTAACTATAACATCCATCCAGATCCGCATGGCTTCCGGCGATGGCGCGACCATATAGTAGATTCTGTCATGCGTCTTGACACTGAAGGTGAGTAACGGGTTAGGACTCTAAAAATCAAAAAAGTTAAAGAATGTAAAACAAACATCCTGAAATCGTAACATTAAATAACACAGACATCTATGGGAGCTTTTTCCTCTTCAAAAGTTTTCCAGTTTGTGGAAATCTCAATTGGTATTACTTTTGCTCTCGTAGAACCTGTACCCCCACCTCCAGCATTTTTCTCAGGACTATCTTTCTGGCCTCACTGCACAATAACTCTCACACAGAGAGCTCACCAATCAATCCTCTTAGCAGCTACTTTGTAGATAAAGCTCCAGCCCAGTGCCTAGATAATGTACGCAATAAATAACCGCTGCTATTCTTAGTCCTACTAAGATCCTTCCTTATAACTAGGTAGTAGACCCTTCTTAGAACCTCAGCAAGTCACTTAGCAGGTCTCCTGAATCAATATGTCCAGAATATTTTCTCATTTCACCATGATTTTTTCTTCCACCAAAGATCAGCGATACTAATTACTCTATGTTCGCTTTTCTAGAGTGATTCTGCTCATATCAGTCTGTTATGTCAGAGCAACACATCTAAATTGCTTGCAGTTCAAAAACCATTTTTCCAACCCAATTATTCATTCACATCTGAAAATCAGTGTTTACCTTATTAGCATTCTTGAGGTGATCATAATACACTTCTTCAATGGCTTGGAAGTATATTACTCCTTTTAATTTAGCTTCATGCTTGTCTGCAATAATAGTTAAATACCTTATCACCAACGATAGACTGGGAAGATTATAATTTCAGTATAATTATTACAATATTTATCTAGTATTTAAGTTACCTGAGGTCAATTCAGATAATTTAGGTGAAGGCATTAGCCCAGTTCTATTTTGAAAAAAACAAACAAAAAGGGAACCATCAGCCCAAACCTCAGGGACTAATTGATTTTGCCCAAAGCTCTCTAGCAAATCTGCAGTCAAAAAGACAACCCAGAACTACTGACAGTCAAGTTAGCACACAAAATATAAACACTGCTGACACCGATACTGATTATCTCCCCACGTTCTCCAAAACTGTGGTTGTAATGGAAATGTTAATATGTAGAGCTGTCGTAATGAGATTTGTAAGGTTTTTTTTTTTTTTTAATTTTTTTTTTCAACGTTTATTTATTTTTGGGACAGAGAGAGACAGAGCATGAACGGGAGAGGGGCAGAGAGAGAGGGAGACACAGAATCAGAAACAGGCTCCAGGCTCCGAGCCATCAGCCCAGAGCCCGACGCGGGGCTCGAACTCACGGACCACGAGATCGTGACCTGGCTGAAGTCGGACGCTTAACCGACTGCGCCACCCAGGCGCCCCGGTTTTTGTTTTTTTAAGAAGGGTTTTTTTTTTTTTTTTTTACCTAACTTAAAATAATATTCTACTTATATTTCTATTTATTAATATTCCACTTATATTTCTATGAATTTCTTGTTCAGCATGCTTTTTCCCCGTTCCCAGTAGAGCTTCATGTCAATAATTTAGTGATCTTTCAATGCAGCATGTTTCAAACTGTTTCCAAGATTTCATCAAATTCGCCATAAAAACCCAACAAAAACGTAAAACAAAAACAAAAGCAACCAAATCACAAACCAAACAGCATCACTCTACGATCTAATAAGTTCTTGAAATATTTTGTAATTTAAACACAGAGAAGATCACAAATGCGTGTGAGCATATTAAAAAGTGTTCAAAGTGTGGATGAGGCTGCAAAAAGAGAGAGCCTGTTGGTGGAAGTGCAAATAAGAAAGCTCCTTTTGGAAGGCGGTTTGGGAAAAGACACCAATTAAAAATGCAAAAAATCCTCTTACTCAGCAAGTCCACTTCTAAAACTTTATTGTATAAGAGCTACTCATGCACATGCACACGGATTTGTGTTTGTTACAGCAGAAGACAGCAAAAAATCTGTCTGAACTCTAACAGGGGACTGATCCAATTATGGTCGGGTCACATAATGGAATCCACACAGCCACTGGAAAGACTGAGCTGGGTCGGCAAGTGCTCGTCAGAGAAAATCCTGAAATGCTGTTATGCGACAAAAGTTATGAACAGAGTGAAGAATTTGGTCTCAACTGTGTATTTTTGAAGTTCATTTATTTATTTTGAGAGACAGAAACAAAGAGGGAGAGAGAGAGGATCCCAGGCAGGCCCCATGCTGTCAGCACAGAGCACGATGTGGGGCTCAAACCCACAAACCGTGAGATCATAACCTGAGCCGAAATCAAGAGTCAGATGCTTAACTGAGCCACCCAGGAGCCCCTGGTCTTAACTGTATTAAAGAAGAAAGAATACATATATATGTATATGTATATATACACGCATATATATACATCTATCTGAAACATATACATATATATATAAACATGTATCTGAAAAAATGTATATATAAATGAATAAAGAAAATCTGAAAAGATATTTCAGACTTAACACTAGGAAAAGTTCAGAACTTTTGTGATGTGAAAGAGACTTATTTTCATTGTATAGACCTTTTTAAAATTTATTTGTTTTTATTTTGAGAGAAAGAGAGATAGAGAGAGAGAACCAGTGGGGGAGGGGCAAAGAGAGAGGGAGTCAGAATCCCAAGCAGGCTCCATGTGGTGTCGTCAGTGGGGAGTCCCATGTGGGGTGGGATCATGACCGGAGCCGGAGCCAAAATCAAGAGTCAGATGTTTAACTGACTGAGCCACCCAGGTGCCCCCTACACTTTTGTTCTACTGTTAAGTTTTTTACCCAAGAATGTCCCTTTTTTCCAACAACAATGGAAAGCTAGTCTGAAAAACAATAGCCCTGAGAGGTTCAGTGGAAAATATAAAGCTATTAAATTACACTTAACTCATCATTTCCCAAACTTATTTGACCATGTTTGACCATGGACCATATTTGTATGTGTTCTGGTTTTTTGTTTGTTTGTTTTACTCTTCCTTGGGAAGCACCGTTTTAATTAATGCCACGTTCAGTGGGTTTCAATCAGTTCACTGGAAAGGATACTGCAGTATTAATGGGAATACAATAATACTTTACTTTCTGAAAGCAGGTGTAAAATAAAATCTGGAGCTAAAAGTAAATGTCATCAGTGTTTCAAGGAGGCAGAAAACTGGGAATGAACCTTTTGTTTGTAGGGCAGTTCATATCTGAGAAAGAACTCTCAAAAATGCTGGCCTCACAAGGGCATTGCGAACTAAGAGAATTAATAATGCTATTGTAACTTGACACGATAAAGCTATTCATTCCTTTTGGTAGCATTAGCCCATCAATTTTCAGATATATTTTCTGTCTCAGTTTTCTTTAGAGACTCTTCTAAGGTTTCCCAGTTAATATGTAGGAGGCCAAGCATGGAGGCACAGAGACTCTGTGATGAGCACAGAGACTTACGACATTAGCTATCAGCACTCATGTTTACAGCTCCTTCACACGCACGGTGCCCTTTACCTCACGACAAGCTGAAGGGGCGGGTGTGGTGCCTGTGGGGTCAAGTCCAGCCTGAACTGCAATCTGCATGGCTTCCTGTGGACTGATCTATTCCTGCACTTGGTGATGTTTGGGGAAAGAGCAGGAGTGGAGGCCAGGGGAGCAGACAAGTACTGATGGATGTAAACAGAGCCAAATGGACAGTGTCTGTCAAACTAGGATGCAGTGGTCAGTTATACAATATGGGAATATTAAAAAGCTACATGAAACATAATTTTTGCCTGTTTTATATGTTACAGTTCTGAGTAATCATTCATATATCAAAAAGAGATATTTTTTATTATATATTACATAAAACATGTAGATATATATATATAAATATATTTTTGTTGTATATTATAAAAACTATAAAATATTTTAATAAAAATATTTTAAAAATAATATATTTTTTAAAGAGAAAACTGATCACCAAGAAGTTTACATTTGGAAAAATGCGTTTACGTGGTCATTAGGAGCACAGGTTCTGACATGGGTCAGAAGGAGGAGGCAGTGAGCAGCTGACCTGGCTGACAGAGGAAAGAACGAAATAAGGGTCTCGGAGAAGAGAAGCAGAGAGAAGAGTGAAGCTGTTTTGTCTGAAGTTAATTAACATGTTATCTTTGGAAAATTCTGGGTGAGGTTGTCTTTGGAGACTAGCACAGGGCAAAGTTTTGTTTATGGATTTTGCAGACATAAGTTGGCATTTCTCATTAAACTGTCATCTTTTCTATTGTACTAACTGAAGAGAACGTCTCTGGATTTTCTTAGAACCCAAGATTAGAAGGCCCAAGAGAGGCAAGCAGGGAACCGGAAGGGGGTTTAGGCCATTCGCTTGGGGCCACTACAGCATTAACTGCATACTGGAGCCCCACCAAAGAGCTCCTAACTGAACGGCATGCACTCCTGGGTCCTCCTCACCCCAACTCTGGGGCCCCCCAGCCAGGGTCTCCTTGTTTTCCACATGCCTCTCAGTGCCTCATACTTCTCTTCATAAACATATCCTGACCTCACACTATGTAGATTAAGTGACTAGACTGTTATTTCTTATTACATTGATTTAACAATTGATTCTTTATTTGACATTGCTCATAAACGCTGATACAGTCACCACAGGGTCTCTTCATAAACTCTTGCATGATATTACTTTTCTTTAGTTGCTTAAGAGAGCAGAGCTAAATCTGTGCTAACAATGGACGTGTTTCGTATGTGACCCAGGAGTAAGAAACTTTTTTCTTTTTCTTTTCTTTTTTTTTTTTTTTTT